GTGCTCTGCTAAGCTTGTTCTAAGTAGGTGCTTTAGACCACTGAGCCAACTCACCAGTCCAAGGTCAAGTCTTGATTCAGGATCATGTAGCCAGGATTCAGAGGTGGATGCTAGGAACCACACGCCTCGTCTACCCTGCCCTTCTCAAAATGTGTCTCAAACTTTGCAGGACCATCCTCTGGGAGGTGGCTTAAAAAGACAAAATTCTGAGCCAGGTGTGGTGGTATATACCTGTAATCCCAGCACTATAGGAAGATTAGGCAGGGGGATCCCAAGTTTTCAGACCAACCTGAGCAACTCAATGACAGTAAAACCCTGTCTTAAAATGAAAAAGAAGGGGCCAGGGAGATGGCTCAGGAGAATAAATGCTTCCCTGGCAAGCACAAGGGCCTGAGCTCAATCCCTGGTCTGCCAAAATAAAATAATAATAATAAAAAAATAAATTAAAAAAAGGGGGCTGGTGAGTTAGCTCAGTTGTCTAAAGCACCTGCTTGAGCAAAATCAGTCAGGGGCAAGGGACTGCAGTTCAATCCTCTGCACCACATCAGCCTGTGCCAGCCACCCCCCCAAAATAATAATAATAATAATAAAAGAATCCTTAAAATTAAAAAAAAAGGAAAAGGCTGGGGATTATAGCTCAGTATGAAGATCCTGGGTTCAATCTCCAGTCAGTACAGTCAGTACCCTAGCCCACAGCTCAGTGGTATAGGCACCTAGTATGTGCAAGCCCTTGTTCAATACCCAGCACCTAAACTAAAATAAGAACAAAAGGGAGGGGCCAGAGAGATAGCTCAGTAGAGTAAGTGCTTGCCTGGCAAGCAAAAGGGCCTGAGTTCAAGCCCTGGTTCCACTAAAAAAAAAAAAGAACAAAAGGGAGTGGTTTCCAGATTTCCAGGTTCCATTCCACACATACAGAGCCAGATCTTGATGGTACAGTGTCCGGCCACCTCTGGGCCTTTGCTCATGCTGCTCCCTTTGCTTGACACACTTATGCCACCCATTTGTGGGGGAGGTTTGTCCCTTTGGACAGCTCATTAGAGTAGGTACCAGAGTATGTGGGGAGGTTGGCCAGGACCTGGAACCACCATCAGCATCCCTAGCACTAGTCAAGACCACCTCTGAGAAGGGTCTAATATGAAAACCAACACCAGCAACAACACCACCTTCAGCAAACAGGCCAGCAAAGCCGTGAGGAGTGCCCACTCTGTCCCAGTGATATTAGGACATTCAGTAGGTACCTGGATCTTCACAGCAACTCTGAGAAGTAAGTGTTATCCTCACCCCTACACAGCAGATGAGCAAATGATGACAGAGAGGTGAGACAGCAACCTCTTCAGGTGGCTCACCCTTGTCCTATGTGCAGCCTATTCTAGAACTGTTCTAAGTGCCTCACGTAGCAGTTGGGTCACATAGTATTTACTCTGGGCCCAGCTGCACTGGTCACTGGGTTCACGTCCTACCTGCCCTACTGTCCAAGCCAACCCCATAGCAAACCCACCTGCACAGGCCTACATAGTGAGACCCTGTCTCAAAAGCAAACAAATGCTACCACCAGCAGTTACTAGGCTTTTAACTACTGCAGGCACGCTTCTCACGATTGAGGTGGCGGGAGGTATTAGGGTTGTACTAATATGCAAGCTCTAGGCAGACTGGGTGGCACAG